CAGCAGTCCATATCTCTTGGCTGCCACTATTCAGCATCATCTTAGCGCTGCTGATACAACAGATTCCGACCTAGTGTCTCGCAATATTTACGTTGACAACCTGTTCCTTGGTGCCAACTCTGGGACGGAGGCGATTGCTATCTATGATGCCACGAAGCGCCTCTTCAGTGTTGCGTCTATGAATGTTCGCGAGTGGTCTAGTAATTCTGCAGAGTTTCTTAGCAGCATTCCAGAACCAGACCGAGCCAAGGGTACTATCCACAAGTGCCTCGGTATGCTGTGGGATACAGAACATGATACTCTACATATTGCACCTGTCAGTGCCGTATCCAAGTCGGCCACAACGAAGCGGAGTATCCTTCGACATACTGCCCAATTCTTTGACCCCCTTGGTCTCCAGTCTCCTGTTCTTGTTGGTGCGAAGATTCTGCTTCAGGATCTTTGGAAGCTGAACGTCGGCTGGGACGACGACCTTCCACAAGACATCATTTGTAAATGGTGTGATATTGCGGCTCAACTTGAACTTGCTGCATCAACGAAATGTCCACGATTCATCAGTGCACCACGTGCCAGCGACGCTCGGTTTTCTCTCCACGTCTTCAGCGACGCATCTGGGCTGGCTTACGGTGCCGTTGCTTACCTTACTACTACGTTTGACGATCAACACACGTCGAACCTTCTAATCAGCAAGTCCCGTGTTGCACCTGTTGCTTCACCTACCATTCCACGTCTGGAATTAATGGCCGCGCTTCTCGGTGTTCGTCTGATCCAATTCGTCCGTCGGGAACTTCCGCTCACTTTCTCCTCTACCTTTCTATGGTCAGACTCCACCACAGTTCTCCATTGGCTGGCCTCTTCTGACAAACTACCTGTCTTCGTCAACAACCGTATTGATGCCATTCGTGCGGTTCCCGATGTTGCCTATCGCTATGTCCGCTCTGCCGACAATCCCGCCGACTTGCCTTCACGCGGTGTCTCTGTTCCTTCCCTTCAAGCCAGCTCGCTATGGTGGCACGGTCCACACTTCCTTGCCACTGCTGACCATCACGCCGAGCCAGCACTTGATCACCATGTCAACGTTGCCGCTGGGGAGGGTCCTTCAAGCACTTCGGAGATACCTGCACCTGTATCACACCCAACAGAGTCCACCGGTCCAGACACTGAGCTTGCACACGAAATGAAAAAAAAGCCTGATGCGCATCACGAACAAAAAAAAACATGTGATGAACCACCATTTGGTATTGATTGTGCCAGGTTTTCGTCTTTCAGTGCCTTAGTGCGTGTTTCTGCTCTGTGTTTGCGGTTTCTCTCCAGGTTGAGACCACAAGGCGGCAAGTCCTTCGGGGTGGATTCTAGTTGTAACTCAGAGGTCAAGGTAGCCAAAATCATGTGGCTACACCATGCACAACAGAATCTGTCAGACGTCAGTGCTGTCGAAAATTGTAAGAAGCACAGCCCGAAGGACAAGCTGCGGCTCTTCCTCGATGAGAACCGCCTCATCAGATGCAGAGGACGCTTGGAGAACGCCGAACTTTGCTATCAAGCAAAGTATCCAGTACTGATTCCCCAAACGCATCCCATCACCCAGCTCATCATCAACGATTGTCACCTGATGACGATGCATGGCGGCGTTGCACACACGCTATCAAGACTGCGTTACGAGTACTGGTTACCACGAGGGCGTGCAACAGTGAAGTCATTCATCACTAAGTGCCTGACTTGCCGGAAGCACCACGGTGGTCCATACCGCACCCCAGATATGGCCCCGCTTCCATCTGCCCGCGCAACAAGATCTATCCCGTTCACCCATGTGGGACTAGATTACTTCGGTCCTCTGCTCGTCAAGCACCAGCCAAGTACCAAGAAGGTATGGGTCCTCCTAGTGACATGTATGGCAACTAGAGCTGTCCATCTAGAACTGGTGGCAGACATGACCACAGAGGAATTCCTGCTAGCGTTCCGCAGGTTCGTGTCGTTGCGTGGTTGCCCTGAAGAGGTAGTGTCTGACAACGCGCCACAATTCATCCTAGCTAAGTCTGTTCTGGATGTGGCCTTTGAAGAAATGGCAACGAGTGATGATGTCCTGTCGTACATGTCGAGGACTGGTGTGAAGTGGCACTATAACCCACCGATCTCACCTTGGATGGGTGGTTTCTACGAGCGTCTCGTTGGAACAGTCAAACGAAGCCTGAAGAAGGTCGTTGGCCGCGCGCTCCTCACTGTGTCGCAACTGACTACCATTCTCATGGAAGTGTCAGCAGTCGTCAACTCGCGTCCACTGGTGTACGTGGACAATGACTTGCAGGAGATACTCACCCCAAGTCATTTTCTGTGCCTGTCCGCAACTACTGGTGGCGTGCAACCCACTGCTGATGACGGCGATCCGGACCACATCGAAGTTCCGACTGCAGCTCAGAATCTTCTCTCTGTCTGGAAGAAGGGTCAACGAACATTGGACCAGTTCTGGCGTGTCTGGCGAGACGACTACTTGGCTGATCTCCGCAACAGTCACACTCGGAAGCTCCGACAGGCACGCGTTACCGCTTCAGAACAGCCAGCCGTTGACGATGTTGTACTAATAAGGGATGACATGCCCCGTGGCTCATGGCGACTTGGTCGCATTGTCGCTCTCCATACAAGCAAGGACATGGAGATACGTTCCGCAACCGTCATCACTGCAGAGAAGACAGAGCTCAAACGACCCCTGTCTCTCCTGTACCCTATCTGTCCTGCTGCTAACTCCGAGGCTAATAACAACAGCACCGCTCCGGACACACCCACCACTGGCCAAGCCGATCTGCCAGTTCCAGCAGCTGTTGCTCCACCCAGTCGTCCACAACGTGCTGCCGCTAAGAAGCAACGTCAGACGCTTCGCCAATTAATTGGCAGCGAACTTGTTTAGTTGAATCAGCTAGACAGTTGGTAGTTCACATCTGAACTCTCTCTTTCTCTCTCTCTCTCTCTCTCTCTCTCTCTCTCTCTCTCTCTGTGTGTGACGGTCTACTCTCTTTCACCCTTGCGTAATATATGCACTTATTGTGTTTTGTTTCCACGTTACTTTGTTACGAATTATCTCCTTTTCTCTGCATCTCTTGCGGGGGAGTGTCACGACGTTGACATGATGTTCAACGTCATGAGATTATTTGCAGTACACGTCATAGTTTGTGTTCTCTACCCCGGTTTGTTTCCGCGTTCCCACACCGAAGCGGGGCCGCGTGTTTATTATTTCTACTGACTCACTCGCCTCTTGGCGACTTCCTCCATGTTTTTTCCTCCTTTTTTGCTCTGCGCAAGCGCCTTGCGCTTTAGTCGTCGTCTTCTTTCAGTTCACAGCAAGAACAAGAATTATTTACCTCTTGTGCAGTGTCAGTCAAATTCAGTCAAATCAAGCTCTCCCGATCCCAAGAAACTGTCTGACGTGTGCACAACTGGGCAGGCACTGACAATATGGTCCATTCTTTATCAGCCTGTAATTGGCATCAATTCAAGCAAATGACTTCATTATGGCGTATTGTTAATTTTTAGTTTTTTAATGGATTTGTTTTGTGCTTCCATAATCATGCCTTCAGTTGAAGGTTTCAGTGTCTTGGACTAACTTATCCAGGCAATTTCCTTCAAGGCGGCTCCAATAGCTCCCACGCAGCTGAAGATTTTTGTTGATGATACTGATAAAAACGAACTTAGAAGTTGCGACTTTGGCAGTAATAGTCATGAAGGTGATTGTTCCAACTAGGAGCACACGCTTCTTGCCGAACTTGACACTTGACTGACTCACGACTGCCATCCGGAGTACACGAGGAGCACGTTGCACCTTCCACTCGGCAAACCTGCAAGAAAGCACCACTCCCTGCTCAATACACAGTGTTTCAGGGAATTCACCCCTCATCAGTTGAGCTTGAGTAGGCTGAGGCTGAGGCTGTGTATTGAGCAGGGAGTGGTGCTTTCTTTCAGGTTTGCCGAGTGGAAGGTGTGACGTGCTCCTCGTGTGCTCCGAATGGCAGTCGTGAGTCAGTCAAGTGTCAAGTTCGGCAAGAAGGGTGTATTCCTAGTTGGAACAATCAACTTCGTGACTATTACCGCCGAAGTCGCAACTTCTAAGTTCGTATTGTTGTCTGTCACGCGGACGTGCGACTAGTTGTAGGAGGTGACTGCGTTGTGAATAGCTATACTAGCTCTCAACATCTGTTTAGCACAACTCCATGAGCGACTCTGACTCTCGCTGCTACCTGGGGCTTCACGAGGTGTTTGTCGCACTGGAAACAAAGCGTCTCGGTAAGTTTGTATCCCTGGTGATGGTTTGGCCTAGAGAGCAGTATATAAGTGGTGCTTTTCAGGCACAATCTTCCTCAGCCTACTCAAGCTCAAGCTCAGCTGACAAGTTCGGCAAGAAGCATGTGTTCCTAGTTGGAACAATCAACTTCATGATACTGATAAAGTTCATAGAAAAGAAAAAGGACCCAGGTGTGCACACGTCAGACAGTTTCTTGGGATCGGGAGAGCTTGATTTGACTGAATTTGACTGACACTGCACAAGAGGTAAATAATTCTTGTTCTTGCTGTGAACTGAAAGAAGACGACGACTAAAGCGCAAGGCGCTTGCGCAGAGAAAAAAAGGAGGAAAAAACATGGAGGAAGTCGCCAAGAGGTGAGTGAGTCAGTAGAAATAATAAACACGCGGCCCAGCTTCGGTGTGGGAACGCGGAAACAAAACCGGGGTAGAGAACACAAACTATGACGTGTACTGCAAATAATCTCATGACGTTGAACATCATGTCAACGTCGTGACACTCCCCCGCAAGAGATGCAGAGAAAAGGAGATAATTCGTAACAAAGTAACGTGGAAACAAAACACAATAAGTGCATATAACATACGCAAGGGTGAAAGAGAGTAGACCGTCACACACAGAGAGAGAGAGAGAGAGAGAGAGAGAGAGAGAGAGAGAGAGAGAGAGAGAGAGAGAGAGTTCAGCTGTGAACTACCAACTGTCTAGCTGATTCAACTAAACAAGTTCGCTGCCAATTAATTGGCGAAGCGTCTGACGTTGCTTCTTAGCGGCAGCACGTTGTGGACGACTGGGTGGAGCAACAGCTGCTGGAACTGGCAGATCGGCTTGGCCAGTGGTGTGTGTGTCCGGAGCGGTGCTGTTGTTGTTAGCCTCGGAGTTAGCAGCAGGACAGATAGGGTACAGGAGAGACAGGGGTCGTTTGAGCTCTGTCTTCTCTGCAGTGATGACGGTTGCGGAACGTATCTCCATGTCCTTGCTTGTATGGAGAGCGACAATGCGACCAAGTCGCCATGAGCCACGGGGCATGTCATCCCTTATTAGTACAACATCGTCAACGGCTGGCTGTTCCGAAGCGGTAACGCGTGCCTGTCGGAGCTTCCGAGTGTGACTGTTGCGGAGATCAGCCAAGTAGTCGTCTCGCCAGACACGCCAGAACTGGTCCAATGTTCGTTGACCCTTCTTCCAGACAGAGAGAAGATTCTGAGCTGCAGTCGGAACTTCGATGTGGTCCGGATCGCCGTCATCAGCAGTGGGTTGCACGCCACCAGTAGTTGCGGACAGGCACAGAAAATGACTTGGGGTGAGTATCTCCTGCAAGTCATTGTCCACGTACACCAGTGGACGCGAGTTGACGACTGCTGACACTTCCATGAGAATGGTAGTCAGTTGCGACACAGTGAGGAGCGCGCGGCCAACGACCTTCTTCAGGCTTCGTTTGACTGTTCCAACGAGACGCTCGTAGAAACCACCCATCCAAGGTGAGATCGGTGGGTTATAGTGCCACTTCACACCAGTCCTCGACATGTACGACAGGACATCATCACTCGTTGCCATTTCTTCAAAGGCCACATCCAGAACAGACTTAGCTAGGATGAATTGTGGCGCGTTGTCAGACACTACCTCTTCAGGGCAACCACGCAACGACACGAACCTGCGGAACGCTAGCAGGAATTCCTCTGTGGTCATGTCTGCCACCAGTTCTAGATGGACAGCTCTAGTTGCCATACATGTCACTAGGAGGACCCATACCTTCTTGGTACTTGGCTGGTGCTTGACGAGCAGAGGACCGAAGTAATCTAGTCCCACATGGGTGAACGGGATAGATCTTGTTGCGCGGGCAGATGGAAGCGGGGCCATATCGAAACTGTCTGACGTGTGCACAAAGTGGTGCCGAAACCCGGGATAGAGAACACAAACTATGACGTGTACTGCAAATAATCTCATGACGTTGAACATCATGTCAACGTCGTGACACCAGGAACTACAAGTTACGCGTCTATCCTTGCACACGTAATGAGCCGCCCTTATCAATACTGCAACAATCAAGACTAGAGACCAGATGGATGTATACTGAGGTTTTGCTATCACGGAAGGTACATGGTCTCCAGGAGGTCAATAGCCTTAGATGTGACACTGGATTGGCTCACGGCTGCATCTTTTAGCGCACGAGAAGCCCATTGAACGCTCCACCCGAGGAGGAATTGCTTGAAGCACTATATTTTGAGCAACGAGTGGTGCGTTTGGCCGGTTTGCTAACTGGAACTTTCGAGGAACTTCTTGGGTGCTCCAGACACAGTCGTGACTCAGTCAAGTTTCAAGGCGGTCCCCACGGCATTAGGAGTGAATTCACGATTTGGTGCTGAATTTGTAACTACTAGCAGGGGCGTCGGACACAGTACGGCCATCACGGTATTGACCGTGCCACTTTTTGCCCCAGGTACGCCGTGAATTACTGAAATACACTCATCTGGACTCTAAATTTTCAAAATTTTCGGCTCAGCCACCCCTCCTCCCACACCAGTAAAATAGTCTTTCAGATGGCTGACCGTACCAGGGAGTAGGAAAATACCATAACGAGAGAGCTTGGAAGCTCAGGGCCCTGCGCTATGCGTTGTTGCCTAGCTCATCGTACATGTTGTTAGAACTGATGGAAATGCTTTTTCCTTTTATTAGCTACATCATTGTATTGCAAAAACGTTTCAATGAGATACTGAAGTACAAGTAACGTCTTCTGCATAGCTAGGGGACCGGCGCTGACTCTGCCGATCACGGGCGTTCTGGAGTCGACGGGATGTCTGTCCTGACGTTTCCTGGCCCCCGGCTTAGACTCTGCCGATCACGGGCGTTCTTCTTCTTATTATTATTATACTGACGGCAACTAACATCCATTCTGATTGCATTTACTCGTCTCCCTACTTCGTATTTTTTTCAGAAAATCTCCCCATACAGCAGGGAGTCGTTTACATAATATGACTCCCTGCTATAAATCTACATGACTGTATAAACGTTATAATTATTATGCTATCGGCCTACATGCAATTCCCGGGCTGGTCGACAGGCGGCCCAGCCAGCCTGCTAGTGGGATCTCGGCCTCGCACACAAATCCACACAAAATGTTACTGCACTGAATGCATTCCCCCGATATACTTCACATATATACTCATTCTCTTGATGGTACCGTACTTTTGATGGTACGGGACAGGTACGGGATAGCGCCAGGCATGTCGATGGCACAAACAAACAAAAATATTGTGGCCAGCTGTCTTTGCTGGTACGGTACAGTACGGGAGAGATACAGGATAGCCCCAGGGGTGACACAAACAAACAAACAAACACCAAATTAAAGCTGTGTGGACCCTGGCTAGCGCCAGATGTTACTGGAGTAACGTCTTCTGCATAGCTACGGGAACAAGAGAGCTTGGAAGCTCAGGGCCCTACGCTATGCTTTTATGCTTTTTTGCCTAGCTCATCGTACATGTTATAAGAACTGATGGAATTGTCTTTTTCCGTTCATTGGCCACATCACTGTATTGCAAAAACGTTTCAATCGGTTTGAATATTATGAGTTAGGCAAAAGTATTTGCAGAATTTATTGCGGATTGTTGTTTCTCTAATAATCATCTACTTTTGTTTTGCTCCTTCTTTAATTTTTATCTCCTTATATTGGAAATCAACAAATTTTGGCCGATGAGAAATAGAAACCTCTCGATTAGAGAGGTTAAGATGCACGTTATTTCCGACGTGACGCGCAGTTTCACGTCAAATTTGAATTCGATCGGTATTTTTGCTCTCACATACATCCATTGCTCAATCATGCATCATTTGCCTATATGACAAATGTTGGCCTGCGATTTACTTTGTCCGGTTGGTACCAAGCGGTGAAATCAGCGAAATTAAATCGCCAGCGAACATTAGTTGATTTTAATACAGGAATCGAATTTTCTGGCCTTTTGTAGTAATACATCTACATTGACCTGTTGAGCCAATGACGACGCCGAATGCATGGTTGCCTGTGGAGCACATTACATAACTTTACAGTCTCCTAAAATACGTACGTATCCTGTCCGACGGCAAAAGAGGCTGCAGATTTAGTTTTTCTGCGCGTCGACGGGATGTCTGCGACGCGAAAGTTCAGCTCGCGTTATTTGGCTCGCACGTCGAAAAAATCAACGCGAGTGACCTGCTGCTCACGTCGAAATTTGGACATTACATAACTTTACAGTCTCGTATATAAATACGTATCCTGTTCGACGGCAAAAGAGGCTGCAGATTTATTTTTTCTGCCCGTCGACGGGATGTCTGTCCTGACGTTTACTGGGACCGGCGCTGACTCTGCCGATCACGGCGTTCTGGATTCGACGGGATGTCTGTCCTGATGTTTCCTGGGACCGGCTTAGACTCTGCCGATCACGGGCGTTCTGGACTCAACGGGATGTCTGTCCTGACGTTGCCTGGTACCGCCGGACTCTACCGATCACGGACGTTCTGGAGTCGACGGGATCTCTCTTCCGACGTTTCCTGTGACCAGCACTGAATCGCTCGTTCACGCTTATTTTGGAGACGACGGGATCTCTCTTCCAAAGTATGTTTATGCTGACGCATCCTATCACCTAATCGGCGTCTATTCTAATTTAATTTCCTCCTCGTCTCCCTATTTCTTTCCAAATCCCACTCTACATCAGGGAGTCGTATGCATAATACGACGAATATTGGTACGGTACGGGACAGATACAGGAGCCCGCAAATATTGTGGACAGCTGTTATGTACAATCCTGTAGAGCCTTTGTAGTCACAGATACGGGACAGATACGGGACAGATACGGGATAGCGCCAGGCGTGACACAAACAAACAAACAAACACAGAAACAAACAAATACCAAATTAAAGCTGTGTGGACCCTGGCTAGCGCCAGATGTTACTGAAGTAACGTCTTCTGCATAGCTACGGGAATAAATGTATTGTACTACTCCCTGGACTGTACCGCACTGCAATATCTTCCGACGCCCCTGAGTCTAGCCTTCTTCTGATGTGTGTTACGCGGGAATGCGACTACATGATCCCTAGCTCCAGTGCCAGCGGAGTGACTGAGCAGTTGTTTTTTCTCCGATTTGTTCTTGGTTTTGAATTGTAACTTATTCTTATTATTTTTTGGAACAGGACAGCATGCAGTTGGTGCCATTTCCCAATGCCTTTCGGGCATTTTGAGCGCTAGAAGATCTATAATAGGCATGAATGGGCACGAGTTGCCTTAGGAAGATTCCATGCACGCACCACTCGAGCCCAAAAGCAACATGAGCGTGCAGAAATCACACTTGTATCAGAACATTTAGTCCATGTTAGATAATAGAACGAGTAGAAAGTCAGGAAAAGACATCGGAGGACATACCGGGACAGTTGTTGTCGTCATCCAGCAAAACATGTTTAAATTTTACATAGTCTGCATGTTCCAGTGGGCTTGCAGCAATGGAGATCACCTGTAAGCACAAGCATGCAGATACAAGAAGAAAGACTCGGCTAATAATGTACAAGGTTTGGTAATGATTGATGGTTTTTCTTTGGCAGGGGGGGGGGGGTGGTTGTGTTATTTTCGGGCATATCAACAAACTCCACATATGAATTGCTCGCGCACACTGGCACTAGACCACCCCCTTTCTTCCTCCCCCCCCCCCCACGACCTCTTAAAACCACATAAAACAATACCCCACCCCACCCCCTTCAACAACCACACATACATACGCTGTGGCACTCCCTTATATCGCTAACATGTATATCATCCTTTAACTTCGCTGGCTAAGAATGCAACATGGAATAATATAACATTGCACGACACTGACCGACGGTGCTGACGTTCAACAACTAACTGGCTAACAGCTCTAGCACATCTAGCATACGCACTCCAACAGCCCTCAAACTTGGAAGGTTCTAAGTGATACGACAACGTAGGAGAGGAAGGTGAGCGCTACCAAGAACATTGGACCGTACTGTCCAATAATCTTGCCAGTATCGTCATTGTCATGCATGTACATGCGCTGATGTCCTTCACAGCTGAGACTTTCAGCTCGTGCTTGCGTGGTATTTAGACTAGTGACTGGCATTTTTAGACTAGCATTTTTTGGAACTTCTTCCCTCAGAACTAGATAAACTTCCAGTGGAAAAGACTACTGGGAGGCAACACATACACCAACATGACTGTAGTTGGGTCGCGTCGGGACCGTGAAAACACAGGAAACTTGAACATGTCCTGCAGCGCACTGTGCATGCTGGTTACATGCGGCCAAGTGTGCAGTGCGTACACAGCATGCCAGACTCGACCCCTCAAGCTTATTGTGCAAACAGTCTATTTGCCGCACAGCATGGTATCTGACTGGTGCCATTAGGGCACTATTTTTTCAATGTCCATCACAGATGGGGCACCATTGAAGTGAGAGCACTATTCAAGGGAGGGCAATATCTTTCCAATGCTGGTACATTTACGTCATCTCGCATAAACACGTGCACTGTAAATTATCACGCTTCAACAGAAAGGTTAACAAGAATTTTTTTTGGAAATTTTGTCCATGAAACCATGAGTTCATAAAAATAGACAATAGCATTACCAAAAGAACATCTACCTTACACATGCACTAAGTCTTGGTTACAAGCCCTGGAGTGGAGGGGTGGGGCACTCCCCCCCCCCCCCTTGGAGGGGAGGGGTGGGGCACCCCCCCCCCCCTGGAGGGGAGGGGTGGGGCACCCCTGTTATGTTCTCATGCACACCACTACTACTAGACAACAGGAACTAGTTTGGTGACAAGATAATAGAAACTAATTATATATATTAGGGACCTTTAGCACCACGTTACTACGTAGGCCTTTTG